CAGCTGTAAGCATTCTTCTGGGAACCTGCACTGGGGCTCATCTCAAATGCTTAATGCAATTACCTAAACTAGTCATGTAGTATTAATGTAATTTGGCCATCTCTACAGCTGAAAAGAAGTTTAATCTTTAAAGAGTAAAAAGGAAAAGCTTCCTGCCCCACAATTCCCCTACCTTGAAACCAAATAATTAGCTCATCTGTTTATTCTCATAATCTACTAACTCCCAGTTAACCCCTAGCCTTAGAAATCCTTATTTAGCCACATGATAAAATGAGGTTAACACAATGAATGGGTAGGTAGCATACAAAGGCATTCCTATCTGCCTCCTTACAGACAAGTCAAGTGATATAGCTAGAATACAAAACTCACCAACCACTTATCTTCTTAAAACTCAACAGTGGTACCTTAAATCAGAACAACTCCACAGTTTGTGGCCCTTGGATATCTATCCCTACGTATCTTTCGAGTCTCACCTCAAGCCTTCCCTCAACACTACAAAACACAATTTTCCAGCTCTATGGACTTCCCAGAAACCTATTAAGCTCCCTCATCAACAAGCTATTTGCTCTGCCTGGAACACAAGTCTTCTCCCTTTTTGCCTAGATAATTTCTAGCTATCCTTCAGCACTTGGCTCAGGAGATCATTCCTCAAAACAGAATCTTCCTAGCTCCACCCATCTAGGCTAGATAGTGTTTCAAAGTGTTCTCAGAATGCCCTTCACTTGCTCCATCAGGGCACTATTTAAATAAGCAACAATTACGATGAATGTCTGAGTATATCCTTCCCAAGGTCAAAAAGCCAGCAATGACAAGAAGTGGGGAATAGATCTGTTTTGTTCACTACCATATCTCCAACATCTAATACATCAATTGGCATAAGGTGAAAACTCAAATATATAAAGACAATGATAAATAATTTTAATGTGAATATTCAGGGTTGGGGGAAAATACATGGCTTTATCAACGACATCAATAGAAACTGGTTATATTCAGGGCCGGCACTGTGGCACAGCAGATTAAAGCCCTGGCCTGAAGTGCCGACATCCCATATGGGCGCCGGTTCTAGTCCCAGCTGCTCCTTTTCCGTTCCAGCTCTCTGCTATGGCCTGGGAAAGCAGAAGAAGATGGCCCAAGTCCTTGGGCCCCTGCATCCACATGGGAGACCAGGAAAAAGCTCCTGGCTCCTGGCTTTGGATCAGCTCAGCTCCAGCCATTGCGGCCATCTGGGGAGTGAACCATCAGATGGAAGACCACTCTCTCTGTAACTCTGTCTTTCAAATAAATAAATCTTTAAAAAAAAAAACCTGTTTACATTCTATTTCAGTTTAATTCACCAAGTATTTCTTACCCACACACATGAGAATCAAAAAGAATGTAAGCCAGATTCCTGTCCTCAAGGAACATACTATTTTGAGAACATAAGATATATGCAAACATGAAAGCTAACCACCACTAAACAGTATATATGAGATCCTAAATTGTGCTGCATAGACACCGCGGGCTAGAGAAAACAAAAAAGACTAGGCCAGCATCCTAGTAATAGGATTTGAGCTGAGTTTTTTTTTTTTTTTTTTTTTTATTATTTTTTTATTTTTGACAGGCAGAGTGGACAGTGAGAGAGAGACACAGAGAGAAAGGTCTTCCTTTGCCGTTGGTTCACCCTCCAATGGCCGCCGCTGCAGCCGGCGCACCGCGCTGATCCGATGGCAGGAGCCAGGATCCAGGTGCTTTTCCTGGTCTCCCATGGGGTGCAGGGCCCAAGCACCTGGGCCATCCTCCACTGCACTCCCTGGCCATAGCAGAGAGCTGGCCTGGAAGAGGGGCAACCGGGACAGAATCCGGCGCCCTGACCGGGACTAGAACCCGGTGTGCCGGCGCCGCAAGGTGGAGGATTAGCCTATTGAGCCACGGCGCCGGCCTGAGCTGAGTTTCAATGGATAAGCAAGGCTGAAGACAGAAAATGAAAGCCTGATCTTCAATGATTCCTCTCCTTTACAGTTTCTCTCAACCGACTATTACATAGTTCTTCGAATCTGAGGAGCTTTGTGCTAGTTCAGCCATTCTTCTCAAGTGGGACTAAAAACATCTTCCTCTTTTCAGGGGCTTTTAAGATCAAAAAGTATTTTCAAAATAAACCTAAGATGTTATTTGCTTTTTTTACTTGCATTCACTCTCAATTATACAATGCAGTCTTCCAGAGGCTTGTAGAACATGTGTGCACAACAGACTGAATGCAAAAGCAGAAATAAGAATTCAGTTGTTTCCTGCTAAGCCAGATATTACAGGGATTTCTAAAGATGTAAAATAATGCCACTCATTAAGCTTCTTTTGTTTTCAAAAATAATTATATTTCCTAAAAAACAAGGTATTGTGTTAACATGTCAGGAATTTACCTTTTTTCAGTAAATATTTATTAGTTTTAATTTCTCATATGATAAATAGTGACATACCCACCCTACATAACCAAAGCTCCTTGAATGCTCAATAATTTAAGAGTCTAAAAAGGCACTAAGACTGAAAGTTGGAAGTTGGCTGAGCTGTTTACAGGTAGGGGCACTAGCCTTGATTCTCTGTGTAGACAAACCATATCAAATGTAACAGAAATGAAATTCACCCAGGCACTGTGTAACTTTAAAATATGTTCAAGGTCTATTAAACAGGTACAAGTTTTCTTCTCAGTAGTTCTTTTTACTTATTTGTATTATTCTTCCACCCAAACACAATATATATAGTTTCATATTACTTTTTCATTGCTATTTATAGGCATTTTTACATTTCTGTAGTCTTCACAATTATCATTTAAAGTAACTACAAAATCGCATCTATCAGACTATGGCAGATTACTAATGCCCCCCCCCCGCCCCCCAAAAAATGTACATCTAAAATGCAAAGGGATTTAATTTTAAATCAAACTTGCCTGAAAGATTCTGTATCTTGACCCACAAAGGTAAGGACATTTTGCCCCAGAACGTGTGGAAACCATGAACTCAAATCTCTGTCTCTCTCTCTCCCTAACTTTGAAGGCTCTACTCGTCCTCAAACTGCCTCAAGAGCCCATTTCCCATCATTCCAGGTGCTGCTCAGGGTGCCGCAACACAATTAAGGTTTCCAGCAGTGCTCCCAGCCACCCGAGATGATTACTCCTGTTATCTCCATCTGGCCAAAGTCCCTCCTCTTAGGGTCGGCTTGAAAGCCTGATCACCCATGATTCCTTTCCTTTACAGTTCCTCTCAACAGATTATTACATAGTTCTTCGAATATCTGAGGGGCTTTGAACATTAATTAAAACAGAAACCTTATGCTGCTGGTTTTATCATTACTTTTTATCACACACCTCCTTTCTGAAGTTAAGCCTCTTGAGGGTAGAGACTGCCTCATCAATTTCTATTCCTGAAAGCACTAGAGGGAAGACACAGAAAGTTCTGAGGAAAAACGGGGCTCAGTGAACTGGGTTTCATCTGTGGTCCCACAGCCAGTGATTGAGGGCGTTAGATGTGAGTGTCACAGCCCTGACTCAAAGCCCATGCCCTTCCTACACCATTCCAAGCTCCCTGCCCACCATCTTTCAATAAACATTCAAAAACTCTGTGACACTGAATGGAAATCACACTGGCTCTGTCCTTAACCTCAGGGAAACTATAAGGTAAAAAATACCAAGAAAAGAATTTCCCCAATAGTACTTCCATCACTCGTCACACTATATCTCTGCATATCTTATTATGGCAACAACAAAATGAAGGCCAAGTGCAGTTTTCAGGGACAGCATTAATGGAAACTTCAGTTCCTGATGTCTATTAAATGTCTTTCATTGTCACACTGCCCTGGTTCTTTCTTTAGAGCAGCCATCGAATGGCTTCGATGGCTGCCACATACTTGGGAGACCCCATTGAATCCTAGGTGCCCTGGCTTTGTCCTGGCCCAGCCCTGGCTGTTGCACACGTTTTTGGTGACTGAGCCAGTGGATGGGAGATCTCTTCTGTCTGTATCTCTTCAGCCCGGCCCAGCCCTTGTTGTTGTAGATGTTTTGGGGATTGAACCAGAGGATGGAAGATCTCTATCCCTCTGTCTGCCTCTCCCTTTCAAACATACTTACATAAATGAAACTCCAATACAAATTTTCAACATCAATGCTCAGGTGAACTTTCCTGGTTAACAACATCTGTGCATATTGTCACACAATGATGTGGATGTAAGTGGCTTTTTTTTTTTGGGGGGTGGTGAGAGGAGGTCTCACTCCCTTTGTATTGGACACACATTTGGGATTCTCCTGTACCTTTAAGGATCTCCTGTTTGGACTGGTCCTACTTTATATCCTTTACGCTGTAATAAAACTATAATTACAAGTATAATACTTTCCGGAGTTCTCTGAATCTTTTTGTTGAATTGCAAACTAGAAGAGGACCCCCAGATGTAGCTGGTTAGTTGAAATGTGCTGTTCTAAGAACCCTCCAGTTTGTGGCTGGTATCTGAAGTGACAGCAGTCATGTGTGCAACTGAGCCCTTAACTATGAAGTCCAGCCTAACTCCAGAGACTTGTGTCAGAAATGCACTGAAATCATACCACAAACAATAATGGCTATGTGCCAGGCACTATGCCAGTAGTTTTATATCATTTCTAAATCTTTAGAAAATACCATCTCTGAACCTCACAAAAATCCCACAAGCTAGGATTACTGGCCTAATTTTTGTAATTAAGTAAAAAAGGAGTAAGAACCATCTGGCCAGGAAGTGGGGGAGCCTAAATTCAAACTCAGGACTGTCTGACCTCAAAACCCACAATTTAGTCACTACATACTTCAGCTTCTTAGATGAGTTACCTAAATGCACAAGATAATATCCTAAGATTGCACCTAATAATGCATGACATGCATAAGATCCTTATGCAAGTTACAGACTGAAATGTTAACAGTAAAATTTTAGTTATGAATTTATGAACTTTTTATATGAAACGTGAAATGCCATATTTTAATGCAAATTTCTTCAGCAATCATTTAACTTACTTGTTTGTGTTTTAGAAACATGTTTCTGGAGAAAATCAACAATCTGAGCCAAAACTTTCTTATTACAATGTGTTGATAGCTTTTCATCACACTCGTAACACCTGAAAAAATGTAAAATTTAAGAAAGTATTATGAAAGCACCTGCAGTCATTTTGCACATTAATAATAAAGCTGGCCTTTAATGATTTCTTGAAATTACATGGGAAGGAATGTAAAGGGGACGGTGCTAGGTAGAGAAACAAGTGGGGTAATTCTCACAGAGCCTTACAGCTCAAATGAAGGTCTGAAACTGATCTTGAATTTACTGGAAGCTTTGGAGGGGGTTTCAGCAGGATAGTGATGTGATCCAATGTACATTTTAAAAGCATCACCCTGAATGACACACTGGACTGGAGGGCACCGGGAACAGAAACAGTTCAGCACAGCAGCAATGCATATGGAGATGCGGACATGTTCATTTTTAGGTAGAAACAATAAGGAATCAGATACAAAACTTGAGGGAGAGGTCAGTATCAAAATAACTGCCATGGGAAGAGAGAAGTGAGTGAAGACACGTCAGCGAATCTCAACAAGAGTGATTTTTCTGCCCCCAAAGAACATCTTTCAATGTTTGGAGACATTTTTGGTTGTCTATTGGTTGCTAATGGGAAGCTGCCAGACACCCTAACGTGTAAATGACAGCACAAGAAAGAATCTATCACAACAAAGAATTAGTCCAAATTCCAACCGTGCTGAATTTGAGAAATTCTGGTCTAGATGAAACAAGACTTGCGAGTTGCTAATGTCCAAAGCTTGGTGACAGGTACAGAGGAGTACCATTTTGTTTATTTTTGTAAAAAAACAGAGATGAAAGGGCTTTCCCTCTTTATACCTGTTGGGCTTCTTGGTTTGATTACTAAGGATGAAAGTGTCACTGAGAGCTGGGGCAGACACAGCTGTTTCATTTTGTTTGGGGCTTCTCTGGAGGTAGGAAAGTAGGAAAGAGATCTTCCAAAGCACATTCCATTTCAGAAAACTACCCTCAATGAGGTTTACTCACTAGTACACACACTTCTCTTGCTACCTTTTTCTCAGACTGTGATTCCCAGAGCAGCAGCAATGGCAGCAACTAGCAACTAGTTAGGCAAGCAAATTCTCAGGCCTGCCCCAGGACTACTATACAGGAATTTCTAGGCCTGGAACTCAGCAATCTGCCTTAACAAGCCTTCCTGATGATTCTGAAGCACTCTAAAAACTGAGAGCCACACAAGGGTATTACCTCCCACTCTCTGGGCTCCGAGGCATCATCAACATACTAAGTCCCCTCTGTTCTCACTTCATTCCCCCCAATACTGCTATTTGGGGCCAATAACAGCAATAATAAAAAACACAAATGCAGCAAACAGCCAATCCCTATGACTGTATTAAATTACACAATGATGATCTCTCCTATGAATCAAAATATCCTGTTGTTAATTTTAGAATTCTGAAATAAAAACACAAAGTTAAAATAGTTTTGTCTGAAAAAAACCTAGGGGGGCAACATTGTAGTAAAGTGGGTTAAGCTGCAGCTTACAATGCCTGCATCGCATATGGGTGCCAGTTCCAGCTGCTCTGCCCCCTATCCAGCTTCCTGCTAATGTGCCTGGGAAAGCAGCAAAAGGTGGTCCAAGTGCTTGAGCCCCTGCATCCACATGGGATATTCAGATAAAGCTCCTGGTTTTGGCATAGTCATGGCCTGGCCATGTTTGAATCATCTTGGGGGTAAACCAGCAGATGGAAGATCGCTCGCTCTCTCTCTCTCTCTCTTTCTAACTCTGCCTTTCAAAAAAATAAATCAATCTTTAAAAAAAAAAAAAGAAAGAAAACTAAAAGACTCCTGATAATTCATTCAAGGAACCCTAGAAGTCTACAGATTCCACTTAGAAAATTATTGTTGTAGCACAGTGAGTTAAACCACCGCCTGCGATGCCAGAATCCCATATCAGAGCTCCAATTCAGGTTCTGGCTGTTCCATTCCCAATCCAGTGCCTGGGAAAGCAGTGGAGGATGACCCAACTACTTGAGCTCCTGCCACCCATGTGGGAGACCCGGATGGAGTTTCAGCCTTTGGCCCGACCCAGCCTTTGAAGTTCTGGCCACTTCAGCAGTGAACCAGCAAATGGAAGATACATCTGTCTGTCTCTCCCTGTATTTCAAACAAACAGATCTTTTTTCAAGAGAAAATTATTGGTGTAAAATACTGAAAAATCATTTCAATACAGCGTTCACTTACATAATTGAAATAATGCAGTATACTAATAGGAACCTAGGGCACTGAAAGATGTTAGAAGCTGCATTTTTACATTGTAATAATACAAAAGTAAATGATACTCAGTTTCCTTCCTCCACATAAGGAACTGGATTACGCTCCCAATCAGCAGTTAAGTAGCAGGAATCACCACAGAAGGTTACACCAACTACTAATCGCCAGGCTTTCCCATCCCCCTTCAGAGAAGCACCAAACCACTTGACTTCTTACTGTACCTTCCTTCTCTAGAACTCTGGAATTAGCAAGTTCATTACATAAACCCTAAAAAGAATTTTCTTTACAGTTAAAAAAACTTAGAGAAAAGTAAGGAAATAACAATTTTTTCCCTCTAATTTAGATTTTGTACTCACGGGTAATGCTGATTTTCTTAAATTATTTCACAGATCATGTTTAAGCTAAAAAAAGCATAAACTGGTAGAACATCTTTCAATAGTTCATCTTGTAAAGCTCAAGAAACCTATTTTTCTTGGGATAGACAGAAGCAGCAAAACTATTTAACTTACCATATAATCCATGTGCTCAGACTAATTACAATGCAATGAGGCTCTGGTCCAGAACTCTTGAAGTGCTTCAGAGAATGCTGGCTTTCCGAGTTTTTACCACAGCCCTGATGATGAGGAGAATGCTATTTGTATGATTTACATATAAGGTTAATGAAAACTTAAAGCATACTCAACTTACACTGAAAATGTTTTGTTATTAATTCCAAGTGAGAGGAAAGTTTCAGAAAGCAATATAGCATTAGATTTATCTCAATAAATTTAAGCTCCTGCAAAAAATCTAACTTGCTTTTTGTGATACAGTATTTTCCTGAGCCAGTTATGCACAAAGGTAATTTCTCTATCACTTAAAAACATGCATGTGTGGGACAAGAAGCAGCCTGGTAGGCCAGTAGTGCCTCTCCCCTAAATGCACATTTTCCCAACCTGTGAACACCTCCATCCCCAACCCATGGAGAACAAGTGAGACACAGGCCAAGCACGCCGGTTTTCCTCAGTAGATAATGAAATACAATTCTGGTTAATGTGACATGGGGAAAAGTCAAGTCTACTGCATATTTTTGGGGAAGTTTCACATATTTTTAAAAGGAACACAAGCAAGGGGGCATCCTCTTTCCCCTCTTTTATCAGCTATATGGGTTGCTGTGTAACAAACAATGCCCGAAGCATTCCTAGCCATTCTGAAAACCAAGAAGCTGAGGAAAGCGCAGCAGAAAAATGTAAGAAAACTCAATTTTGAATGTTTACTCGCTACAGTTTACTAGCGCTGGAGTGGCCCTACCACTGAATTTCTATCTCAGATAACAGAGATTTAGTCCTCTTATTTATTTTTTAAATTTTTATTTAATGAATGCATTTTTACGTAGATACAACTTGAGGAATATAGTGGTTCTTTCCCCCATATCCCCCTCCCCCCTACTCTCATCCCACCTCCCATTTTCTCTCCCATCTCCTTCTTCATTGTGGATTATTTTTAGTATGACTTTATATATAGAGGACCAACTCTATGCTAATCACAGAATTCAACAACTTGCCCCCACACCCACACACAACATAAAGAGTACAGTTTGGGGAGAGAATTTGCAGTCGGTTCTTATATTACAGTTCAATAAGGACAGAGGTCCTACCTGGGGAGTAAGTGCACAGTGTCTACTGTTGTTCCTTTAACAATTAACACTTTTTTATGATGTCAGTGATCATCTGAGGCTCTTGTCATGGGCTGTCTAGGCTATGGAAGCCTTTTGTGGCCATAGACTCCGTCGGTATTTGGATACGGCCATAAACAAAGTAGATGTTCTCTTCTCCCTTCTGAGAAGAGTGTCTTCTTTGATGACCCTTTCTTTCTTCTGGGGTATCACAGAGATCCTCCGTGTATACTCCTCTTATTTAAACACACACACACACACACACACTTCTAATTTCAAGAGGAAACTCCTTTTCTCTAGACATCAATAACTTTTGGGATTTAAGGTAAATTATTGGGGCCAACACTCTGGCGTAGTAAGCTAAGCCTCCACCAATGGCACCAGCAACCCATATAGGCGCCAGTTAACATCCTGGCTGCTCCTATTCTGATCCAGCTCTCTGCTTGTGGCCTGGGAAAACAGTAGAAGATGGCCCACGTGTTTGGGTCCTGGAACCCACACAGGAGATCCAGAAGAAGCTCCTGCATCCTGGTTTCAGATCTGCTCAGCTCCAGCTATTGCAGCCATTTGGGGAGTGAACCAGCTGATAGAAGACCTTTTCCTCTATCTTTCCCTCTGTCTGTAACTCTACTTCTCAAGTAAATAAATGAAAATCTTAAAAAAAAAAAGATAATTTTGCAGAAAAAAAGCAAAATACTTCTTTTTGATAGAGAACAAAAATGAACCTGAAAGGTAGATCCATTTTCTAAGCAAATTCACAAGGCAAAGATAGGTCCATATATGGGAACTACTACAAGTAGATTGGACTCTCTTTCAAAGTAATTATAAACCACACACAATTACTTTCTGGACATAGCATACTTGTTGCTTTACCTGAAACCTTGCTAAGTTCATTCTTGGGGAATTTCAAGCTAATTATGGAATAAATTTATCTTAAGTTGCACATGTGACTAATAGCCCAAATCACAGGAAGCACTTAAGAAAATATTCAAGACAAACTCACCCATAAGTAACACTTTTCTTACCTGAAAACCACACTTGAGGCACAACCAAATATCAGAAGGAAGTACCGGCTGTCCGTCAAAGAATCTCCTTTCTTTCAAACATTCTGAGCAAACTGACCACAGATTCTCAGCCACTGCCCGCTTCACATGATTCACACTGACAGCATGACTCACATGCTGGCAAGTTAAACCTATTGAATAAGAGAAAAACGTCAAAGTGTCAACATTTTATTTGTTAAGCTAAAGTGCTACCGTTGGTAAATAAAAGTCAATAGCATTAAAATGGTATTGGGGCAGGCAGTGGCCTAATAGTTAAGATGCTGCTCGAGAGGCAGGTGTTGCAGTGCAGAGGGTTACACTGTCACTTGGGACACCTGCATCCCACATCACAGTGCCTGGTTTGAGTCCCAGCAACTCCACATCAAATCCAGCTCCCCGCTAATGTGCCTGGGAAGCAGCAGATGATGGCTCAAGTACTTGAGTTCCTGCCACCCATGTAGGAGACCCAGATGGAGTTTCTGGCTCTGGGCTGTGGCATGGCCAGATCCTGGCTGTTGTGGCCACTTGGGGGGTGAACCAGTGAATGGAAGATTCTCTCTCTCTCCCTCCTTCTTGTCTCTCCATCTCTACTGCTCTCTCTCTGGCATTCTACTTTCAAATAAATAAATCTTTAAAAGAAAAAAAAAAAAGATGCTACTTGTGATGTCTACATCTCATATCAGAGTGCCTGGGTTTGAGTCCCAGTTCCACTTGGGATTCCAGGTGCCTGCTAATGCAGACCCTAGGAGTCATCAAGTGATGACAAGTCCCACCACAGGTGGGAGACCTGGATTGATTTCCTAGATTCCAGCTTCAGCCTGGCTCAGCCCCAGTAAACAGCAGATGAGATATCTCTACCTGTCTATCGCTTACACGCTCTCTCGCTCGCTCTCTCTCTAGCCCCTCAAATAAATAGTTTTTAAAAATACTCAGGGTTCTCCTTACTGAATATTCCCATGTAACACATTATTTTGCCTGGTCCCTAATGATCCTTTGCAACAACTTCCCACTGTGTGCACTGTATGGAGACAAATAGCTATAATTAAGCAAATATATTTTTAAGTTTTCAAATAATGCCACTTTCTTCCAAGGGGGCACAATTAATACTTCCATTTCTCCCAAATACCTGAATAATTTCTCCACTTCAGGTATCCTTAACATTAAAACTACAGCTACCTGCCAAAAACAAACAAAGAAGAGCTACTTGAAGAGGAAAACAGCAGCATGTATATTTCAACTTTTCTCTACTTCCCTTTCAAAATGTAAAGCATTCTGTTTTGCCTACTATTAACTACAGAGAGGCTAAGACTGAGAATGTGAGTCCTGACAAGTTATTAATAATAAAATGTAATTTCATGGGCCAGCGCCATGGCTCACGAGGCTAGTCCTCTGCCTGCAGCACCGGCACCCAGGGTTCTAGTCCCAGTTGCTCCTCTTCCAGTCCAACTCTCTGCTGTGGCCCAGGAAGGCAGTGGAGGATGGCCGAAGTGCTTGGCCCCTGCATCCGCATGGGAGACCAGGAAGAAGCACCTGGCTCCTGGCTTCGGATCGGCGCAGCGCACCAGCTGTAATGGCCATTTGGGGGCTGAACCAACGGAAGGAAGACCTTTCTCTCTGTCTCTCTCTCTCACTGTCTAACTCTGCCTGTCAAAAAAAAAAAAAAAAAGTAATTTCAACATGCAAGTCTTCTAAAACTTCTGATCTTACATCAAGAGCTATCAACACAGACCTAAAAAGAGCAATTCTTAAGTTGATACGTTTCAAAAGCAAGGAGCCATGCCATTAAAGAAAGTGCTGAGGGCAGGCAGTTAGCCTAATTACTATGATACCAGTTAAGATGCCACAGACCACATCAGAGTGCCTGGGGTCAATTCCTGGCTTCAGCCCCATCCTGTTTCCCACCAATGGAGATCAAGGAAGTAGGAACCACCTACTTGGGAGATGTGGATTGAGCTCCTGGATCGTAGCTCAGCCACAGCCCAGCCTCAGCCACTGAAGGCATCTGAGGAGTGGGACAGCAAACAAGAATGCTCTCACGTGTGTGCTCTCCTTCTCTCTCATTCATGCTCGCTCACTCTCTCTTCTCCCTCTCTCTCTCATTCTTTCTCTCTCTGCCCCTCAAGCAAAAATTTTTTAAAATTCACAATCTCAGGGCCAGCACTGTGGCACAGTAGGGTAGGTCACCACCAGTGACACTGGCATCCTCTATTGGAGCACCAGTTCAAGCGCTGCCTACTCTGCTTCCAATCCAGCTAATGTGCCTGGGAAAGCAGCAGAAAATGGGCCCCTGACACCCATGCAGGAGACCAGGATGGAGTTCCTGGCTCCTGGCTTTGGCCTGGTCCAGCCTCAGCCATTGTAGCCATTTCAAATGAATAATTTCTTTTAAAAAATATAAAATTCAGAATCTCCAAGTTTTCCACTTTAAACTGTGGGGAGCAGGGTCTGTCACCCGCAACATGGCGAAATAAGTACTGCGACTACCGAGACTAGACTAGACCACTGAGACTATTAAGACTAACTCTATGCATCTGATCTCCCATCATATGGCGCTTAGAGAGAGTAAACAAATCTTACACAGCTGCTTCGCTAATTAGCTGATTCCTGACCCAACCCCTTAAAAGGGGGAGAGAGACAACATGTGCGGCCGCCGTGCCTCCCTGAGAGAGTCGATCGGAGAGCTTGCCGGTGCCGCTCCTCCATGAAAGCCGGGGAGGACGGAGGAAAGAGAACAGCGTCCGGTGCCGCTCCTCCACGGAGGCGGGGAGCGATATTAAACATTAATAAAACTTCAGAAGGAAGTCTCCCAATTTGTAAATGGTGAAAGTCAGCACTTCCTTCTCCTCCCATAAATTATCAAAAGGCACCAAGAACAGGAAACAAAGATTCATTTTCAGAGAACCAGTAGATAGCTGAAGCCCCCAAGTCATAAAGCAGAGAGAATACTGCCACTGTAGGTTTTACTAAAAACAATTGCTTCCTTTTTTTTTTTTTTTAAGACAGAGAGAGAGAGAGAAAGGGAGAGAGAGGTCTTCCATCCACTGGCTCAGTCCCCAGATGGCCACAACAACTTGAGCTAAGCCGATCAGAAGTCAGGAGCCAAGAGCTTCTTCCGGGTCTCCAACTTGGGTGCAGGAGCCCAAGGACTTGGGTAATTTTCCACTGCCTTCCCAGGTACATTACAGGGAGCTGGATAGGAAGTGGAGCAGCTGGGACATGAACCAGCACTCATAAGGGATGCCAGCACCACAGGCCAGGGCTTTAACACACTGCACCACAGATTCAGCCCCAACAATTGCTTCCTAAATATAGAACCCGAGTCTCTGCTGTAACAAAACCTCATTTTTAAAAAAAATTAATATTATTTTTTAAGATTTATTTATTTATTTATTTATTTGAAAAGCAGTTACAGACAGAGAGGAAGAGACAGCCATCACTGGGTCACTTTCCAAAAGGCTATGATGGCTGGAGCTGAGCTGTGTTGGGCAGAAGCTGGGAACAAAGAGCTTTCTCTGGTCTCCTATATGGGTAGCAGGAGCCCAAACACCTGGGCCATCGTCTGCTACTTTCCCAGGGATGTTACCAGTGGAGCAGCCAGAACCTGAACTGAAGCCTATATGGGATGCCAGCATTTCAGGCAGAGGCTTAACCCACTGTGCCACAAAATTGGCCTCCACAATCTAATTTTAAGCAGAAGCAAGCAACGGAATTTCTTGTTCACTAAGTGAGTGAGAGATAAAAATGCAAATAAAATATTCTTCTAGGTTTTCAGGAAGCAGTGTTATCTCTACGGTAATTGGAAAGAAGAGATACTCTAGATTATGAAAGAATCCAGAGCTGCAGAACCCCATTGACTAGAAAACTTGGCTAAATGAACTCAAACTCTAGCAGGTCTCCACAAGGCTCTGGCTGGTTCATTTTTCTTATACAAATATTGTAAAACCAGCTGGTCTAAGAAAAGCAACCCTACATCAAAGAATGAGCAATCAGAGAAATTTTAGCCACAAACTCTGCTAAGATAATGTCGCTGTTCCCTCAGAGGGTGGTTCTATGACCTCCAGGGTACTAAAATCTCTGAATGCTCAAGTCCCATAAGTAAAAGAGTAGTATTTGCCTGTAATGTCTGCAGAGCCTCATTTAAGATTTATTTATTTTATTTGAAAGGCAGACTTACAGAGAGGCAGAAAGAGAAAGAGAGAGAGAGAGAGAGAGAGAGAGAGAGAGAGAGAGGTGCTTCCTCCAGTTCTCCCATGAAGGGCCATCTTCTACTGCTTTCCCAGGCCATAGAGAGAGTTGGATCAGAAGTGGAGTAGCCGGGTCTTGAACCAGTGCCCATAAGGGATGCTGGCAGTGCAGGCAGCAACTTTACCCGCTACGCCACAGAGCCAGTCCCTGTATATATTAAATTATGCCTGAATTACTTATAATACCTTATACCATGTAAATGTTACGTAAAAAAAAGAAAAAAATGCTATGTAAATTGTTGCTATATTTTATTCTTTAGGGAATAATGGCAGAAAAAAAGAGAGAGAGAGAAATCTGTATACTTTCAGTATAGATATAATTTTTGCCCAAAATACTTTCAATCTGTGGATTTGGAACCTGAAGATACAGAACCTGCAGGTATAGGGGGTGGAGGAGAGAGTAACTGTATAAAAAAAAGAAAGGAAGGAAATGGGAAAAAAAGGCAGAATAATCACTGTTATTACACAAAAACACAAAAAAACAGCAAGTGTTCTAGGACAGGATGGCAAATAATAGGAAGTGATAGGCAGAGCTAAGGAAAGAAGTGGAACAAAAACAAATCCATAAATATAACTGCAGAGACAGACAACGTGGTACAGCAGGTTAAGGCACAACTTCAGGCACCTGCATCCCACATGGGAGTGCTGGTTCCAGTCCTGGCAGCTACTCCACTTCTAGTTTCCTGCTAATACATCCTGGAGGGCAGCGGATGATGGCTCAAGTGCTTGGGCACTGCCACATGTATGAGACACCTAGAGTTCTGGGCTTCTGCCTTTGGCCTGGCCCAGCCTGGCTATTTGGGGCATTTGAGGAGTGAACAAGTGGATAGAAGATCTCTCTCTCTCCTTCTCTCTCTCTGTCGCTCCCCCTTTCTTTGTCACTCTTTCAAGCAGATAAAAAAAATAAATTTAAAAAAACATTTAAAAATTAATAAAACCATAAATATGAAGACTAAATTTGAAAGACTATAAAGTGAAATGGATACTGCTACAAATATATTAAGGATTAAAAATAGCAAGCAGAATGAAAAGGAAATAGGAGTCCTAGAAGATCTGAGAAAAAATGATTACCATGGAAGACAGGCAATGGGAATTAACATAACAATCATAATCTCTGAAGAAAAGGTATTAACAGAATACAACAAACATTTAAAGATATAATTCAGACTTTCTTCAATACAGGAAACTAAACTACCCTGAAAAATTATGCAAGTTAACTTTTAACAATGGAAATGATATATTAAAGACATCATTTTAAATGGAATGCTGAGCTGGCATGGAAGCAAGGAAAATCATCAGAGGCCAAAACCAAGGCATGAGGCTAAAGAGAAAGGCAACCCTGAGACGAACAGCTCTGACCAGTCCTCTGTCAGCTTCTGGTGGCCTGGAGGTTCTGCTAGGCCATGAGGAAGGACAAAACAAACAAACATAGCAATCCCAACTTTGTAGACTAAACAACATTCCAATAAAAATCCCAACACGAATTTCTGGAACCACACAAGCAGACTCTAAAGCTTGGTAGAAAACAATGAAAAATAAAAGTACGAGATTTATTTGTTAAAAGCATATATTATTATTTCTGTGTCTCAATACCATTTGGGATGTCAGAAATTACAATTTACCAGCAATGTCATCTGAAGAGTCCTCATCACGAGGTACAGTGGGCCTTTTACTTCTTTTGGCTTTCTCAGGTAACACCTTGGACGGATCTTTCACCCGCATCTGTTATCTACTGAAAAGGTTGAAGAAAAAAATGAATATGCTTTAATCTTTAAAGCTAAAATTTTATATATTTTATTTAATGCATAGCAAATCTGAAATGACTTCTATTTCACTTCGTTTCTGAAAAATTTTTAAATTATTTTCTTATTAATTTGAGAGGAAGGGTGGGAAGAAGAGATAGAGAGAGAGAGAGAAAGAGAGAGAATCTGTATTCCCAAATACCCATAATGGCTGGGGCTGGCCCAGGCTGAAGACAGGGAGCTGGATCAGGATGAAGCTGGGGGCTTAGAACTTAATCCAGGTGTGCCAAGTGGTTGGCAGGAATGTATGGACTTAAGTTACTATTGCTGTCCCCAGGGTCTGTATCAGCAGGAAGCTGGAGTCAGGAGTCAGAGCTGGGTACGGAACCTAGGTACTCCAATTTGGGATGCAGTCATCTAAACCATTAAGCTCAACACCTACCTGACATCAATTTAAATTGGTCTAGTAAATCAGCAGAGGAAAAAGTTGGGAACATCAGGAAAATTTTGTTAAGCCTATATTCCACTAGTACATTCTATTTGACTTACCAGCTGCCTTGTTACAAACCAAATGATTTGTGTCCTCCCAAAATTCCTATGTTGAAATCTAATCCCAATGTGGTAGTATCTGCAGGTGGAGACTCTGGGAGGGCATTAGGTTATGGGGTGGAGTCCTCATGAATACAATTAGTATTTTTTTTTTTTTTGACAGGCAGAGTTAGACAGTGAGAGAGAGAGACAGAGAGAAAGGTCTTCCTTCCGTTGGTTCAGCCCCCAAATGGCCATTACAGCTGGTGCGCTGCGCCGATCCGAAGCCAGGAGCCAGGTGCTTCTTCCTGGTCTCCCATGCGGATGCAGGGGCCAAGCACTTCGGCCATCCTCCACTGCCTTCCTGGGCCACACAGAGAGCTGGACTGGAAGAGGAGCAACCAGGACTAGAACCTGGCGCCCATATGCGATGCTGGCGCCACAGGCGCAGGATTAACCAAGTGAGCTACGGTTCCCGACACGATTAGTACCCTTAGAGGAGACCAGCGAGCTAGCCTTCAACTATGTGAGGATGCAAGAAGACGGCCATCTACAAACCAGGAAGAGTGCCATCAACATGCACCAGATCTACAGGCAGTTTCATCTTAGACTGCCGGGCCCCAAGTGCTATAAGAAATAAACATCTGTGGTTCAAGTTTATACTAATTTGATATAAGGGCCTGAACTATGACATACCTTCTACATACATAAAATTCAGGTGAATAATGGAAAAATGGAAGTTTTGGTCAACGGAATAAGTGCTGTTTCTCTCAACCCACTAACTAGAGACAGCAGGAACTAGAAGAGCCACACTGGCCCAAGGATGGAAGCCATAATCCAAGCACAATAAAACCACGCTACCTGTGCTGAACTATGGAGAATTGGTAAAATAAATAAATAAAAGTTTTAAAATCTTTTATCTTTTTAAGCTACTGCATCTTTTATCTTTTCCCCTGCAACTTTTTATTATGAAACAATTTAAAAATTCCCAAAAGTTGAAAGATAAAAATATAATGAACACCTATATACTACCAAGGTGTCACATATATTAATATTTTGCTATCTGGTATTTATCTAAATATGATGGGTGTATAGAGAGCTGTATACATGTGTGAGTACATTTTTTTCTTTTTTGGCTGAACTGTGAAAGTTGTAAAGATCATTATATTTCATCCTAAAATATTTCAGCATTTTATCTCTAAACAACAGACATTCTTCACTACTTCATTTTCATACCTGATAAATGAACAATTCTCTAACATCATCACATATTCCATCAAATTCTAATCCCCCTAGTGGACCCCAAAGCGTATACTATTTCTTGAATAAGGTTCAGCCTAGCCTTATACTTTATGTTGATTATGTCTCTTTAGTACCTTTAAATCTAGAACAGCTCTTTCAAGCTTTTACTTGCCAAAGACTTTGGCTTTTTTAAGCAATCAGGCCAGTGTATGTAAGTCACCTTGAGGATCTCGTTAAAATGGGGATTCCAATACCTGAGAGCCTGCCTGAAGATCAAGCTCCTAACTGATCCTATTGCTGGAGGTCCACAGAACACACTTTCAATAGCAACCATGCATAGTGGCCCGTATGGAATGTGTCTGTTTCTTCACAGTGCTATTTACTTCTAGCTCTTTTTTTTATAAATAAAAAAGTTAGGGCTGGCGCTGTGGCATAGTGGGTAAAGCTGCCGCCTGCAGCGCCAGCATCCCATATGGGCACAGGCTGCCCCACTTCTGATCCAGCTCTCTCTTGTGGCCTGGGAAAGCAGTAGAAGATGGCCCAAGTGCTTGGGCCCCTGAACCCACATGGGAGACCCAGAAGAAGCTCCTAGCTCCTGGTTTTGGATCAGCACAGCTCCGGCCATTGAGATAATTGGAGAGTGAACCACCAGTGGATGGAAGACCTCTCTCTCTCTCTGATTCTCCTTCTCTGTGTAACTCATTCAAATAAATAAATAAATATTTAAAAATATATAAATAAAAATTTAAAAAGTTAATTCTAAATATTTTAGCACACATTAAGCATTTTGTTTTTTTCACTATATTTTGGAGTCTTACTTCAAGTACCTATTCTAATTCCTACTGAATACTATCCTGTTTGGGGTCTCAGCTCCATTCCAATTTTTATGATTGCTCATTTACTTTTTCCCACCAATACTACTTTATTTTATTGCTCAAATTGTTTGACCAACCACAAACAATTAAATTCAATTAATTAGTATGCCATGTCTCATATTTAGATAGTTTTGGTGACTGGAGGCCTTCAATTGGCTCCTCTCTCTGACACACCACCAATCACTGTCATCTTTTAGCATTTCTTTTCTTTTTTTTTTTTCGTGGTACAAAATGCTCCAGACTCAGATTCATCTTGTGTACTTCCTGCTCAAGTCCTAGAATCAGCCATCATTCCAAGGAGCCCTGACTCCTTTCTGAGAACCTGAGACCTAGGCAGTAGTGCACTTCCATTCTAGGTATTCTCTGGCTGTGCAACTGCCCACAAGGAAGTCTTTCTCTGGCTGCACTGAGGGGAAGTGGAGACTTCAGCAGGGAAGCTCAGCTCCAGAGAGCAGCAAGCCCTCAAAGTACTTTTTCTCACCAAAAAATAGGTAAGTCTAAGAAGAGGAAAAAAAAAAAAAACATGCAAAGGATTTTCATTATAAACTAGCTAAGACAAACCAGTACATTTGCTGTACTGTAAATCAACCCAACACAGTTACAACAAAACTGCAGAAAGATCCTTAGAATAACAAGGTCATTTGTCAGGGATCACCAGGGAGAATACTGACAGAACCGTCAGCTTTCCACAACATGCACAGCATGGTGTACTCCCGAAATTCATCTATGATAGTGAAGATACACTATTACATGACGACAGTTCTTACACAGATGATCACAGGTAACTATCTCTTCTCCATCTTCCTCTTTCAAGGATTTGTTTGTGATCAGCATAAAATCCCGCTTAACTGCACACTGCACAACCTGCCTAGTTCGGCGAGAAAGATCCACTCTTCAGACAAGTGTCACCCAGATTGGGATGTATCTTCTCCACACAGTCCCACACATCGTGGCGCCGTCAACAGGGAACGCCCTGTAGCACTCCCACTCGTTTACTTTTTAACAGTCAAGTTCAGGAATTCAGCACTAAATTCCAAATCTGGATTTTTGTCATTCCATGTTTCAGATAAGGGAACTTTCAAGACTGCCATTTTAAAAAGCCATTTTTTAAAGTCTGACTACAGAATTGAGCTGCAGCAAATTAGAGCTTCAGGAGTTGCAGATATATAAAGCCTCTGACTCCCTGATCATTTCATCTCTTCCTACCTTTCCCCTCCAAACTCCATCATCTACGTGCCCCCATGGTTCTATAGCACACAGTCAGTAATTCAAGTGCAGTATTTCCTTTTCTAATCATACTCCCCAGTCCCCCCAGCTTGCTTAATCAGCCACTCATATTTTCCTTTCCTGTGTAGGCTGACATTCACTTACCAAAAACTATCAAGTTTTCTACTTTGCTAAGGCAAAAGAGAGATGATCAAATGGTAAATCTGATCTACCACAAATTTACAAACTTGCCTCCATCAATTTTAAATTTGATGTCCAGAAAAGAGACAGGTATAACTAATAGATTATAGGGAAAATGGCCCATAAGAAACTGGCCACATTTCTCCCTTACAGGACAGTTACAATCTCCAAAAAGATAAGCATAAACATACAGATAATGTTGGTGAAATAACAGATAGAACCAGGCATTTGACTTAGACTCTGTGAACAACCTGTGCATTTTTTTTCAAAAACACTGACTGAGATCTAATGGCAACATAGAAGCAATTTCCAAAGATTTTTCTGATGTACATATGTAATACATCTAAACCTACAGCCTCATTTGATACAGTAACCTACAATTTAGCAATCATTTATATGTGCAGTTTTCTTTGCCAATTTCTATTTACGGGGAAAAAAAGAGAACAAATTAAAGGCCAATTATTAGAGTGTTTAAAACGTTCAACAGAATTGTGTCTGGGGGACAGCACTGTGGCATAGCAGGCCAAGCCTCTGCCTATGGCACCGGTATCCCATATGGGCGCAGGCTCGTATCCCGGCTGCTCCACTTCCAATTCAGCTCTCTGCTATGGCCTGGGAAAGCAGTGGAAGATGGCGCAAGTGCTTGGGCCCCTGCACCCATGTGGGAGAACCAGAAGAACCCCTTGCTCCCAGCTATGGATCCACTCAGCTCTGGTGTTTGAGGCCATTTGGGGAATGAACCAACTGATGGAGGATCTGTCTCTCCCTCTGTATGTAACTCTGCCTCTCCAATAAATACATAAATCTTTAAAAAAAAAAAAAAACAACACCTGTGTCTGGAGTTCTCCAAGACTTCTCCACATTTTGAGATTTGCTAGGTTTCACAGGACTCAGCAGACATTGTACTCATAGATATCATTTAGTACAGCAGTAGAACAGACAGAGAGCCTGATCTAACAAAGAAAGGCCAGGTCTGGGGAAATTTTGTGCCAATTCCTTGAGCTCTCCCTCCCACGAGGAGTTAAACAGAAGGCTTTCTTCACCAACCAAGAAAACTCAACACCAGGTAAGTAATCCTGCGTCCCACGGAAGCCCATTAAAGACTTGGTGCCCAGTATTTGCATGGAAGGTGGTAAATCCGGCACAAAAATTACTTTTCCACATAAACCACGTTGCCCCGGGTGGGAATCCTCCCAAGGTCCAAGCTCCCAGACGCCTACAAGGCACCCAAGGACAGCAGTCTCAGGCCTGCTATGCCAACTCCTAACAGCACAAATAAGGTCTGACCGCGGCGTTTTCCAAACATCAAACAACGGTTTTCAACTGCAGCATTACCTAACGACTGGTTTTTATCCCTAATGTGGGATGTGAGTTATTTAGAAAGTTTTGTTTTTAAACAGGCTAAGCAAACGAAAGCTCACTTTAAAAAAAAAATCTTCCCTACTGTTGGGCACTTTCCGGGATCTGAGGCAAGGAAAGAGATACATTTAGACACTAGGCTCAGAAACGAACAGCACTTAGCGTTAAGCTTTGTATCACGCTGTTTGAAGCACTTCGATCGGCATTAACCCACCGAACCTTCACCAGCACTTCATGAAATGGACTACTACCATTTCCCCCGTCTTACGCTAGAAACTGAGTTAGGTGAAGCGGCTTGCACAGGTGCCGGGGTCAGGAAGCGGTGGATGGGGATGGGGACCCCGACGGGCCGACCCCAGCTCGCCTAAGCCACGAGGCTGCCAGAACCCGTGCTTTGACACGCTTCCTCCAGCCGCCAACAAACGCCCGAAGCGGGGAGGGAACCTGCGCCCGCAGCACAGCACGCGGCGGCGGGGACGCAAGGATGCCCGCCCCGGTCACGGCGAGGCGGGCCCGACCCCTCCCCGGCGGCCACGCTCCCGCCGCCGCCGCCGTGACACCAAGCCCCCAACCCCCGCCCCGCACTGCTCTCACGCGGCCCCAATGACCGCCGGCGGCCCAGGATTCAGGAGCGCGAGACAGCCTCATGGGGTGCCTCGCTCCCCGCCCCGCCCACCCACAAGGGGGCGTGGGTAGCGCCAGCCAAGACCCAGAAACTGCTGCAACCCCACCGCTACGGTCTTCACTCACCCCGCCCGGCCGGGCCGCCGCGTCTACAACCAGGTGGGACTGCGCCTGCGCGGCTGTACGGCGGGCGGGCAGAGGCGGGGCCTCCGGGGCCGGCGGAGGTTCGCGTGCGCCCGGCTCTGGCCACGCGCCCCGGGTGGGGACGGGCGCGGCCGGTGGGAAGGGCGGGGCCGTCCCGGATGGCGCCTGCGTCCTGAACGTCCGCGGAGCCGGCCGGCCCTTGCTCATCCTCAAGTAGCTGTGGACTCTCAGTTGGATTGGGACGGTGGCCTGGCGTGAGCCGCTGGAGTCTTGCGGAAGTTCGCTGTAGGACAGCCTCTGACTTCCCTCGGTCACTTCTCTGGACACCTGGCGTTCATCACCTCTAGCTCTATTTCCTTACTGTTCTGGAACCTGCCGGGTCGATTACTGACTAGACTGCATGTCTCTGGGACCAACACTTTTTGCTCTTTCGAAAGCATCGGGTGAAGCGTGACTCATTCAACCCAAGTGCAGTTTCCCTGTTCATACTGTGGTTTATGAAAGTATTCAGACTGAGGATGCCACCCGAAGAATACTCGGATCTTCAGTATGAGATTGAAGCAGTCCAGTGGGGCTGGGCGTCTGTGGGCCCCTCAGACATGGGTAGAATGTCCCTCACTAGCAGACTGCCAGCTGTGGCTGCAAAGCTTGTCTCCAGACTGAATGGCATCGCCCCCAGTGATAGCTTCCTGCTGCTAGTGTGACCTCCCGGCTTTAACTCCCACCTTCAGGGTGGTTGCAGTCTTTCACCCAGAGCTGGCAGAGCAGGGGGCTGGGCCTCTAAGGAGACCCTTGCTAGCTCCCTGAGCCCCCAGCCAACCAATGGACAGTATGTGAAACCCCTGTCCAGTGGGCATCCCCACGGAATGACCCAATAGAAAAAACAGTAATGCCTTAAAAACCCAGGTCACTTCCTCAAAGCCAGTGTCCCGCTCCGGAGCTCTGCCTGCTCTCCTCTCAGATCAGATGCTTTTTCTGTTGCTTGCCAATCAAATGAGTTTCTTTTCTGTCCAATAGAAGTGTCTGCCTCTTTGTAAGTTGTTTCCTGGCATTTTATTCCTATACTAAGCTGAGGAAAAGAACCGGAAACTCACTCCTGCAACCACCCTCCCCTCTGTCACTGGTAACAATGATGACTTTTTAATAATTCAAAGTCCATAAAATAAGTTGAACTATAGATTATGTTTGAAAATATATAACTGTAAATTATGTCGCTGGTAAAGAACTCTGAAGTGGCTTATTAACTTCTAAAGTATTGAAAAATAATTTAAAAGCATGATTAATGAAATTCTCAGGAATACATCTCAATAATGCCATTTAAAAATTAATATTCTGATTTTTAAAAAATATTTGAGAGGTAGTGTTAGAAAAAGAGGGAGAGAGGCCGGCGCCGCGGCTCACTAGGCTAATCCTCCGCCTAGCGGCGCCGGCACACCGGGTTCTAGTCCCGGTCGGGGCGCGGATTCTGTCCCGGTTGCCCCTCTTCCAGGCCAGCTCTCTGCTGTGGCCAGGGAGTGCAGTGGAGGATGGCCCAGGTGCTTGGGCCCTGCACCCCATGGGAGACCAGGAAAAGCACCTGGCTTCTGGCTCTTGCCATCGGATCAGCGCGGTGTGCCGGCCGCGGCGGCCATTGGAGGGTGAACCAACGGCAAAGGAAGACCTTTCTCTCTGTCTCTCTCTCTCACTGTCCACTCTGCCTGTCAAAAAAAAAAAAAAAAAAAAAAAAAAAAAGAGGGAGAGACAGAGAGGAAGGTCTTCCATCTGCTGGTTCACTCTTCAAATGGCTGAAAAGGCCAGAGCTGAGCTGATCTGAAGCCAGGAGCCAGGAGCTTCTTCGTGGTCTCCCACATTGGTGTAGGACCCCAAGCACTTGGGCCATCTTTCTCTGCTTTCCCAGGCCATAGTAGAGAGCTGGATTTGAACAGGAACAGCCAGGACTCAAACTGGTGCCCAAATGGGATACTGGTGCTGCAGGCAGAGTCTTAGCCTACTACACCACAACATTGGCCCCAATATTCTGATTTCAATCTGAATAAATTTGGAGTTAAATATAGCTTCCTTTATACCGGGGAACTAAATTGAGAATGAGCTAAAGGTGAAATAATGAGAGGCTGGTGTTGAGGCCTGTGGGTTAAGCCTGCGACCTCAGCATCTTATATGAGATTGGAGTCCTGGCTGTTCCACTTCTGTTCCAGCTCCCCCCTAACATGCTTGGGAAAGCAGCCAAAGAAGGCAAGTGCTTAGGCCCCTGCCTGGCCCATCCCTGGCCATTGCTGCCATTTGGGGAGTGAACCAGAGGATGGAAGACCTATTTCTCTCTGTCTGTAACCCTGCCTTTCAAATAAATAAATAAATCTTAATAACTCTTTTAAATAAATTAATCAAATCTTAATAAATATAAATATGATTTATTTATTTGAAAAGCAAAGTTACAAAGAAAAGGAAGAGACAGTTTAAATAAATACACATATTTATTAATATAAAATTAATAAATATAAAAATATAAATTAATAAATAGTGCTCCCATCCCCAAAGATGTCCCTGAAATCTGAGACCATGTCAACTTGCCTGGCAAAAGGCAGATGTGATTAGATTAGGTATTTTGAGATCAGATTCTCCTGGGTTGTCTCAGTTTTGATATAGAGAGATTTATTTATTTATTTTAAGGGTGATACCAGACTACATGGGAGCAATTCTCTATCTTTTTTTTAAATTTATTTTTTATTTATTTGAAAAGCAGAGTTACAGAGAGGCAGAGGTGGAGGGGGAGAGAGACAGAGAGAGAGAGGGAGTCTTCTGTCGGCTGGTTCACTTCCCAAATGGCCATAACAGCCTGTGCAGAGGCTGTCCTAAGCCAGGAGCTTCTTCCGGGGCTCCCATGTGCATACAAGGGTTCAAAGACTTGGCCTTCTTTTACTGCTTTCCCAGGCCATAGCAGAGCGCTGGATCGGAAGTGTAGCAGCAGGGACTCGAACCAGTGCCCATACAGGATGCCGGCGCTGTGGGCAGCGGCTTTTACTGGCTAGGCCGCAGTGCTGGCCCTGATATAGAGATCTGTATAACAGGGAGGTAGGAATACCAGGGAAAAAGAAGGTGACATTGCTACAGAAGCAAGGGGCAGATTCAGAGATGTGTGGCTGCTATGGAGCTGATTTTCAGGATGGAGGAGTTAAGAGCCAGAGAATGCAGGCAGCCACTGGAAGATAGAGAGGGCCACTAAGGAAGTTTTCCTCCGGGAGCCCTCAGAAGGCGCACTGGCTTGCTGATTTATTATTTATTTATTTGAAAAGCAGATTTACAGAGAGAGAGGGAGAAGGACACAGAGATCTTCCATCCACTGGTTCACTCCCCAAAAGGTCACAATGGCAGGGGCTGTTCCAGGCTGAAGCCGGGAGCCAGGAGCTTCTTCTGGGTCTCCCATGTAGGTGCAGGGGCCCAAGCACTTGGGCTATTTTCTGCTGCCTTCCCAGGCACATTAGCAGTGAGCTGGCTCGGAAGAGCAGCAGCTGGAACTGCAACAAGTGCCCACATGAGATGCCGGCATGGCAGGCGGAGGTTTAACCTTCTAAGCCACAGCGCCGGCCTCTTGTCATAGCTTTTAAACTTTGCCTTGCCTAAAAAAATAATAATCAAAACCATAAAAGCATTCATGACCCTGAGTTTCTTCCAAAACGATTTTCAGTTTTAAACCAGGGGAAGCTTTGGTCGAGCAAATTAAGCCTTGCAGCAATGCCGAGTTCGGCCGGTGCTTGGCTGGAGGGCGCTGGAGAGCCGGGAGCAACGCGCCTTGGGTTGGAGAGGAAGAGAGGAAGGAGGAGGAGGAGGAGGAGGAGGAGGAAGTGGTGGGCCAGCGGCGATGGTGCTGCCCCGCCTGCTGCTCGCGACCCCGCGCCGGGCGGTCCTGCAGTCCGTGGAAGCTGCTCTCTGCGGTGAGCTTGGCGGTCCTGGGGAGAAGGGAGAGCGCCCAATCTTGGATCCCGGGCAAGCGGTGGCTTTGGTGGGGGTGCCTGCCTTTTTTTCGACTCCCAGTTAAAGTTCAGACCCATGACTTTGCCTCTGGTTATCTAGCGCCCACTTGGGGTTCTTGTTTCTTCGGAGCCGTGCGATTGGGGCCAGGGGCTGCTCTGGGGGCCGCAGCAGCAGGGGTTTTAATGGAAGTGGTGCTTCACTGAGCGTGGGCTCGTAACCCAGAGGAGCAACCAAGCTGGCCAGTCCTTGCCTGGAGAGGCATATTCACAAGCCTAGCCCTTGCGACCCACCGGAGAGCCGCGCTGTTGGGGTGGCGAGGCAGATACCTAACGTGGTAAAAAAACAAACAAAAAAAGCAACGCCCTTCTGCAAATGAGGGACCTGAGAGGTGAAATAAAAACAAAGCACCGCCCTTCTGCAAATGAGGGACCTGAGAGGTGAAAGCGCCGAATCCAGAACGCAGACCCCTTTTTGCTTTATAAGCTGCCTCTCCTCCAGAATCAACTGCTATCTGGGATGCAGC